ATATATATATATAAATATACATTTCAGCAGTGAAACTAAATACCTTACAGGACAGTAACTATTTGAGTCACAGTGAGGCACAATATTGATTTCATGGCGGATACAGATAAGACAACCTATATAAGTTAATAACCCAAAGTTTATGTACAGCTGAGGGTAATAAAATACGGATGGTTTAATATTAAACCTAAACAAATCTAACTGACATCACTATAGGTAAAGGTCCATTCGGAGAAATAGAATATAATATACATACCTATAATGTTTTCATCAGTGTATAATCATCTACAGAGGGAGCGGGTCCCCTACAGTAGCTCAGAAGGGACAAACCAAACACTGTAGATGAGGACCTTTTAACAGTTTCTCCTACACACCCCACAGTCCATTCACATTCCCAGGACATCAAATACAGACGCGAGCAGTGTTCAGTTGGTTGCAAACTGCATCTTCACCACCAGATGCCACTAAATCCTACGCACTGATCCTTTAACGACAAAAACTGTTCTTCTTTTTTAAAACACAGAACAGCTTTACAAACATACTTTAGCTTTTAGAGAAGAATTTATAGAATTTGCCAAAAAAATAAATTCTTATTATAATTATAGACTATTTTTTAATCATCCGAATTCATAATATAAATTTACGTCCCTGATAATTATTGTGTAATTTTAATTTAAACACATCATATATAGCCCAGAAACCTTTTTATCACAGAGAAATTCATTATGTTTTCCTACTTTATTTATTTATTTCAAGCTCCGGACGTGAATGCTCGAAATTTCGAGCTGAGTGGGAGCTTCAGTCGGACACTTGAACGCAGCACACGTCACACAGGCGAGAAGCAGACAGCTGAATTTTCTCCCACAACTCAGGAGAGATCCTTCTCAACCTTTTTAAACCATTTGACAGCTTCTCCATCAATTCAAAAAAAGCTACCGGACAAAAACCGACAGCCAGATAAACTTTTGAGGGCAGTGTGAGCAGCGCGGGGTTTGCCCCCCATCAGTGACTCTTCCCCCGAACTGCTGTGGTTCAGGATCCGCTCCGGTACAAGAAACCAAACACATATAACTCATTTTATATGGAGGCTGTTCTGAACTGCAAACCAGAGGACTTGGAGGATTACTACGGGTTGTTAGGATGCGATGAACTGTCCTCGGTGAGTTGAGGACCAGCCTATGTGCTGGGTGATTTTTATTGATCGATTAGATCTACAAACACATTGCTATCGATCTGAACAGCTCAGAAGTGGGGAGATATGACACGTGTGTGTGTGTGTACGTGTGTGTGTGTGCCAGCGATCAGCAGCCTGTAAGCTGTTCAACCAAATAACAAAAGATTGATGTGTAGATGCTGCAGAGGTTAGTCTGAACCAGCAGAGACCTGTTGATGTCAGAGAGTCTAGTCGTGCGTCATCCAGTGTCTGTGCAGTATTTGTGCTTTTAATGAATGATGTTTAACTTCATGTGACTCAGTATAATGATTTATATTCTTATCATTAACTGTAGAGAGCCTGGCAACAGTATAAGTGATGGGAGCATCAATAAATTACAAAATTACCAATATTAGGGCAGTAAATTAATTCATTTAAAGGCCTAAATATAAAGTAATCAATATGATATTCATAATAAAATCACTGTGTACATACTGTATGGAATTATGATTTTTGTTTTGTGGCCTCTTAGTCACACTGAATAACGTCCCTTCACAATAAAATAAGTGACCGATTCCTGAATTTTCAAATATTTATGTTGGCAAACGTTATATTTATTCAGTCTTTCACCTTGCAGACCGAACAGATTCACAACGAATACAAGATCCGAGCCTTGGCCTGTCACCCAGACAAACACCTGGACGACCCAGGAGCAGGTAGATATGTGGATTGTTGCTCATTTGCATATTTTAAAAGTCATTTTCAGCTTTTTATTACCTTCTCTTGTGATTTTTTTTTTTTTTTTGCCTTTGAACTCAGTTTTCTTACTTGTCCCACAAACAGTTAATGCCTCTTTCTGATGACTTCAAAGCATAATTATGTTAATGGAGAGCTGCTCACAAGTGCATGCAAAGAAGAGGGTATTTATTCCTCCTAATTCGGTGAGCATAATGCTGCGTCTTAGACCCTGATCTCGTCTGTCTTTCTGTCAGTGACAGATTTCCAAAAGCTGCAGGAGGCCAAAGAGGTTTTGTGCAATGAAACCAAAAGAAAAAACTACGACCTTTGGAGAAGAAGCGGAGTTAGGATTCCTTTTCATGACTGGCAAGCACTGAATGACTCTGTAAAAACTGTATGTGACGTCTTTACCACATTGATTATCCAAACCCTGTGTGATCTGTGTGATCTGTGTAACTTAAGGAAGGTTGTGTGTTTGCAGTCAATGCACTGGGCCGTGAGAAATAAGAAGGAGCCGATGTTGGAGGCCTTGAGAGCAGAAATCCCAGTCGCTTCCCCAGCAGAGGACGTTCGTGCTGAACAAGAAGCACCAAAGATCCCGTCAGACGAAGCCATGCCATCCTCGAGTAAGCTACGAGGTTGTTATAGAATAGGTGTGGGAAAGATTAGATTAGACTAGACTAGAAAACACTGAACTAAAATAAAATAAAAATAGAAAGGAAATGTCTTTTAGTTTTAGTAAAATTTGTCAACACAACAACCCTGAGGAGGGTTTGGAGCTTGTTTATGTGTTTATTGAGACTGGGATGTGTTTATATTGTACATATCCTGAACTTCTTAAATCTTACCCTTCACAAATACCTCCCATATCATATAAAAACTAAAACTAAACATCTTTAAACAATAGAAACTAAACCAAAACGAGCAAAAACGAATAGGAAACTACTAAACTACAGTAACTCTGGTGAGCTACATTTCAAAAAATGTCTCAAAGTGATGGGAAGTATAGAGATAGTTTCTGTTAATGTGTGATACTGCAAAACACAAGATCTAAATAAGGAGGGAAAAGCATTAAAGTGGCCAATAAAGGTATTGAAATGTGCTTTTTTGTGTCCTTTGAGGTCACACCAGAAAGGCACATGATCAGAGGAGCACTGTGGTTGACTACTATAGTGCTGTGACATTAATGCCATTATATAATATTAAAATATACATACTTTTTTGGAAGACAGTCACTTTAAATGCCCTGAAGTTTGAGAATTTGACAAGAAGTCAGCTTCTCTGTTCAGTCCTCAATCACATACTGTCTACACTCAAGTAGGTGCACTGATAATTAGTATAAAAGTCACGTTGGGAACAACGTTGTTCAATGTTGTAAATAATTGTTTTTATCTTGTTCAGGTGATTTCTGCCATCGACGTTTCCGTTGGGCTGCTGACTCCCCGTCCAGTCTGCTGCGGAGGTTCAGAAACTATGAAATATAATAAACAAATCAACAGTTTTAATTGTTGTTTAAATGTTTGTGTGTTGTTCAAACTCTGGTGTGAGTTCTTGTGAATGTTGTCTGGCTGTAACGCCACTAAAACTTCCTTCCAGCTCTAAATGTGGCCATTGCGAGTATGAAATACTTTGTAAACCAAAAATCAGAGAGCTGCTTATTAAAGTATATGAATAATTTATTTTCTTATTAGTCTTTGTCTGTCGTTCACCAGCACACAGTGGATCCTGCCCGATACTGGAGGACCTTTAATGCTGTAATGTGTCTTTCCGTGATGTTTGAAACATAAAACTGAAAAATGTACAAGTACATTATTTTGTTTATGTGTATTTTTTTTAAAACATCCTGTATATCATGTTTGATGTTGTAAAGTTATTTTAATGTATCAAATGTCAGATGAAGTCCTTAAATCATGTCAAACCTTTTCTATAACTGTAAAATGTAGTTTGCCAAAGTTGTTTGCAGGTTTCAGGAGGAGGAAGGAAGTTCAGTTCCTGCAATGTGTTCACAAAGTGTTCAAACAACAATGGAAGAACGAACTGTCCCAGTAAAAATGGCTGCCACACTGAGTGTCTTAACTTCCTGTAGTAAAAAACTACATTTTCTCAGTGACACAGAGGTTGGTTCACCTCAATATCCCAGAGCTGCAACATAATTATAGCTTTTATCATAAGATCAGCATTTGGAG